GTACGATATGATAAAATATAAAGAAAACTGGGACTGATATTCGTGTATACAGATAAAATCCGGGTATCCGGTTAATACCCGCTACTTTTTTATCCCAATATCTGGTTAATATCCGCTTATTTGATTAACTGGATATTACTTATAAACCGTATTTGAATTGATTCGTAAAATTGTGTTCAAAATTACTGATTCTGTGGAGTTGCAAAACGATTACTAAAACACTTTATTAATACACAAACAAATTGCTGTTTTATTGTTAATTTTCAAACTCGAGCCCTTTAATTAAAAATTTTACACTGTCACTCTAAATGAAAGCTTTTAGTCCATTTAAAATCCAAATGAATCTTTAAAACCCTTCTCCGGTCAGATATGTTTTGCCCTCGGCTATTCTTAAAGCATTATTTATAGTTAGAGAAAGCTTTCACACACATATGTTGTGCCAAAAAGCTTGGCGAGCGAGCATATAAAGTGGCCAACTTTATTAAAAAGAGTCCTTAAGGTCAGCGAGATCTTTTACCTTATGCACGTGTATGTCAAATGCGTAGAAAATTTAAAAATCTTCTGCACGCGAATCCTTGAAGTGACAAACACTGGTTTAAAGCTTTTGTATTGTAAAAGCAGGGATAACAAGTATTTATCCGTCACACAAATTTTTAGCTGGGAAAATAATTATTGAAAATGAAATCTTTAAATTTTGTATGAATTTGATTTAGAGTGAAAGCTCACTTGAACCATTTGGAAGTTGCATATCTAAGTACGCATCTCGAAACTCGTGGCATACACGATAAGTACGATGCGCACAAACTTTACCTAAATTAATTTTTACTTCAGCTATGAAAGCTTTATGACAATGAAATAAAAGCTTTCTATGACTTTCAAACTCTTACGAATTCTTTACGATTTAGGTTGGAAGGAAGCACATTAAAATCGAATTGAACGTATTTTAAATACCAGCCTACACAAGTAATATTCAACAACCAAATTATGAAGAAGAGTTCCATACTCAAAGCTCTTGTTAGGATTAATAATTGAACCGCGACTTTTTCCTCAAGTTTTTTTATAATGAAATTGGTAAAAACCCCGATAGTTATATCATTTATAGATAAGTGTATCGATATTGGTTTCTTTAGATAAGTCGTAAGATATATCAAAAAAGGCATATATTTACTTGATGCAAATAACTTTTTATCGATAACATATCGAATGATGTCGACAAATATAAAAATATCGATAAGTACGTCAGAAACAGTATCAAAAAACACATAAAAAGCGATATTCATAAAAAATATCGTCTTCATAACAATCGATATATCGATAAACATAAAATGAGCGATAATGATATCGATAGATTTATCGATAACCATATCTAATGGTTTCAGTTCTGATCCGCATGTGTGCCAGGAACAAAGCTTTGTTTTTTATTTAATGTGAATATGTATTTCAGAATGAAAACATTTGAGCTTTGAAATACAGTGTGCGAAATGCAACTAAATTTGTTAGTTCACATCGACTAAAGTTACAGACATGTATTACAATTGTAGCAATATCAGTACGACCAACAACTAGTAAACCTACCAACAACAATGGTGGAAGGCGGCATTTTGCGTGTGTTGGTGGTATAGAAAAGTTTTTCAAGGCTACGTCAATATGTATGTAAGCTGGAAGCGCAGTGCCAATTTGTGTATGCCTGCATGAAAGCACTTTTGTATGTATGTTTGTATGTATGAGAATACACGTACATATTTGCGAGTATACGTGCATATGTATTACCTTATCTCTTTTCACTTCAGCCGCTTTGGATCCTTGTGCCTAACTCCTCAATTGCTCACCGTCAACATTTACTCATTCAGCAACATGTTGCACAAGGAAGCTGTATTCTAAAATAAATACTTCAATGTTGCAAAAGTTCCTTTTCAATGAACTTCTATGCATTTTCACTATGCATGCGCACATTGTTCTGCAATTGCACTCACACACTCACACATAATATTGCATTAATATGTATATATATGTATATTAAAACGTATGTAAACACATTCGCGCACCAGCTAGCGACGACGAAAAGTAGAAATGAAAATCATTCATACAGTTTGCGCCATTCACACAGATATTTCACATTAAATACTTGCGTACACACACACACACACACACAAACATACTTGTGTACATCGATGCACTTGCAGCCGCGCATAAAACTTTTTCAAAAACTTTTTCCGGCTTTTCTTCCTTGCTTGCTCGCTTACTCTTTGCAAACGTTGTAGTGCGCTACAATCATACGTCTTCCTTTACTCCTCCTTCTACTCACCGTTCTTTGCATCTATTCTACCAGCTTTTAGCTGCATCCGCTGCCATTGCAGCAAGCGAGGTTGATGACATTGTTAGGGCTGTGTTTTGAAGTTGTGCTTCTGCGGTCTTTTGAATGCTGCGCGCCTTATTCCATCTCCTGCTCCCATCTGCCATTTCTTCTGATTTAACAACTATGCTAATGTTCACTTTCAGTTGTTATTGTTGCCATTTTGTGTGAGTAGTGCAACATAAACTTGAACTTTGCAAAATGTTTTCTATTCGCATGAATTAAAGAGAAATGCCGCCGTCGACAAGTGAAGAGTGGGCAGGCGGGCGGGTGATGGAGCAGGCTGATGAGGAGGAAGGCAGTCAAAAGTTAAGTATAGTAGTTTTAAATGCCAATTGAAAGTAAACAACTTAAATTTTGCATTAAAAGTACCTACATGTTGTTGCGATGGTAGTCGGTTACTGCGCTGGAACGTTAAGCAACAAAGAACAGGCGAAATTAATGAGGCAGCTTTAAATAATGCGAAAGCATAAAATATTACTTATATTTGGATAAAGAAGTCATTTTAGAGCGCAAACGGCAGATCCGGAAGGTGTAAATGATGAAATGGTCGTAATATTGAATTGAAATTTATCTTGCGACCTGAGCGGAAGCTTGTCAAAGCTTGGTTACTAAGTATTAATTCTGGACTATAGTAAATATGTGATAAACTCATTATCTTGAAGAGGCTTTTCACCTTTGCATCGCACCTTGAAAACGGCTTATAAAACTAAGTTAGATTAACTTGATATACACAGCTGGCATTGAGTCACACATTGACCGTTAGGTCCCTAGCGCTGCCAGTTGGAAGTTCGATATTAAGCGCTAAAGTAGACATTACAAGGAATTTCAACGCGCCCCCGTGGTGCTTAGATCCGCTAGGCGTTTAACCCGCTCCATTGGTCAGAGGTATGAGGACTTTTTGCGGCATTCCACCACACCAAAGCGCAATAGAACAGTATTGGTCTGACTATTGCCGTGTAGCACCAGTGCGTCAGGGCAGGTTACAGACCCCAAGTGACTCCCAGCATCTTTTTGCGTGCATATAGGGCGTTTCCTCCACAGCAGCTCACTATTTAAGACTACTCCCAGATACTTTGTTTGGTCTTTAATTGACAACTCGGTGCTACCTAGCCTCGGGGGTATCCATATTGAAACCTTTCATCTTCTTGTGTTTTGTCTGCCTTAACCCCTAGCCCTGCTCGAAATGCCCATCCGTCAGTGACTTTCAGAGCGCTGCTCATTACATAACAGATAGTGTCCATGAGTTTACCTGTTACTACTACGGCTATTTCGACTGCTAACGCTTCTAGTTATTTTAGCAATTTTTTGACCGTTAGTAGCCATGGTAGTGGTGAGAAATCACGGCCTCGTGGTAGGCCTCTACATGCTTGCCTGGTTACTCTAACGCCAATCCACTTCGCTCTTACTTTCCTGTGGCCTAAAAAACGTATTATCCACAACGAAATGGCTGGTTCTACGCCTATTAATTCGATGCTATTCATAATAGCTTCACTTGAGTGATTATTGAAAGCTCCGGAAATATTCAGAAATACCCCTAAAGCATATTCTTAGTATTAAAGATCCTTCTGAATATTTTGTACTTTCGAGTGTAGTGCAGTGGACTTGCTCTTAGTGTACGCATGTTGTACATCTGGAAGATATTCCTTAAGAGGGTTGCCACCTGCTCAAAAAATTGGAATTTGTTAAATTAATAAATTAGATAAAGTATCAACATACAAGAATGTCGGTGCCAAAAGAAAGGGGCTCAATATCGATTTATTTCAAAACACTCTTTAGGAGGGTTCACACTTTTTCAAAAAAAAAAATCTATTTAATTAGCAAGTTAAACATACAAATATTTTAATATGTATTTGAAAACAAATTTGACAAAGCTTTGTTTCAAAAATATTTTCCAAGGGGGCTGCCACCTGTTTAGAAATTTAAAGTAAATTTGACTAACAAGTGAAATGAAATATTTTAATGCATTAGTAAGTTTGTATAAAATTTGGCATACAGATACCTATGATCTGGGTTAACAAATGTATAGCAAAAAATATATCTGTATATAATTAAATTCTGCTTTAAATTAGAAACTCATCGAACTTTTACAATATGGTTGCCAGACAATCGAGGTTTAAAAAAGCTTTTTTAAGAAAACATTTTTGGGAATATTGCGACCTAATTAAAATATCAGATTTAATTTTATTAATAAGTTGAATGAAGTTTTACAACATGGGTGGAATACAAATGAGGTTTAGGAAAGCTTTAATTTGAAAGTAGTTTGAGAGCGTTGCCACCTATTTGAAGTCAAATCCCATCGAAGCTTTGTTTCGAAAATATTTTTAAAGTGTGTTGCCACCTGCTCTCCTGCAACCTGTTCAAAATAAATCAAATAAAATTTAATAATTAAGTACAGTAAAGCATCATAAAATGAGTCAATTAATTGTAAGGAAGCCTTATTTCGAAAATATTTTTAAAAGATGTTGGCCGATGTTCATAAAGACTAATTAAATTTTATTAGTTAAATTACGATAAGAATGTCGAACGCAACAGTTTGTAAAAGCTTTATCATGAAAAGAGTCTGAGTTAATTAAGCATTATATTTATATTTTCTATAGATTAAAAAAATACCTAATGATATAATTTTTCCTTTTTTCTTTTCCAGAAGCCTCATTCAAACACCAACAAAGTCAAAATTCCAAATTTAAACTCTATATCTACTCTGAAAGCGAAGTAACAGCACACATTCAAACACTTCTTCAGCGAATAGTAAAAACAAAATAACTTTGGCTCTTCCCCTTCTTTCAACATACATGAAACTGACAACCTACTTAGAAAAAACACTTGTTGGACCAAAAACAAATGCAGCTAATCAGACGCTACTTAATAAAAAGTTAAGGACACTAAAGTAAAATTTCGCGGTAAAAAAGTATAAACACTCGAAAATCATAAAGTCTATTGTGAAAAAAAAGTGGTAAAATAGAATTTGCATTTGCAAAAAATTAAACATTCAGCATAAAAACCAAAGTTCTACAACAAATTGGTGTTTAAAAAAGAATAGTCTATGTTTGCGTTGAAAGCTTTTTGAAAATGAAAGCGATTTTCCGTTAAATACTTGCCTTGAAAAACTTAGTTTACTTTGAAGTAAGTAAAAGCTTTCCCAAGTGAAAGTTTAAGCCGAACGTTATGCTAATGAGAAACCGAAAGCTCTTTTAAAGTCAAAGTTCATTTCATTAAATGCAAAAGCTCGCTAACTGCAAAAGCTTTTTTTTAATTGTACTGCATTGGAAGCAAAACTCGTTTCGTTCGAAAACTCTGTTAGAATCACATTTCACAGCGTGTCCTCACCTCAGTCTCTCACACTTCTCGTACATTATCTAGATAAATTTTATTTTCACAAGCAACTCTTAATTTCGTGCGGTTTACTCTATTTCGCGTGTGCGTGTGTTATTTTAAATAGAAAATAAAATTGAAAAAGAAATTATATACAAAATTTTAAATGCAACTAATATTATTTGAAGCAAAACAAAAAAAAACGAAAGTGTGTTCGCAGCAAAATCTTTGAAAATCAAATCGTGTCCACTTTGTGAAAATATAACGCGTAACAAGCCAGAACATAAATCACAACAACTGCTAATTATAACGGTTGCATATAAAAGATATCGCCAACAAAAGCAAACAGCTGCAACAACCAATCAACCGGCCAACCAAGCAACCAACAACAACCGGCAACACGGCCAAGCAAAATTGTTATCTTATGGATTGCTGGACGGGTAACGCCCGACTGGCGAGTGTTTTAGTTTAAGGTGAGTAATGCTAACATTTTTTTCTGTAATATTTTTGTGTTGTTGTAATTCTAAAACCTGACATTGGCAACCATCTGCTAGAACATCAATGCAATGTTGACAGCACCGGCATGCACTTCCGCCTTTCAAACCAGCTGCAGGAATTTGCGAATATTTTGCAAAAAATTTTGGCAATCAAAATTTTTGAAATAATTGTGGAGGATTTAGAAATTAAATTTCTTTATTAAAAAAAAAGAAAAAATTAAATACGAAAAATGCAATCAGTGGGAAATGTTTATCTTTTGTACTAAAACACACTTAGTTCAGAGATGTAAGTGCATATGTATGTACTACATACATACCTATATTAGGGTTGTAAAAAATGCACAGGAATAAACTCTCTGGAATTTTCTTGCTGCCATTTTTGCAATTTTTTTAATAAGAGATGAGATTATCGGTTGTAAAAAGTATTAAGCAAAATTTCAAAGTTAAATATGCAACACGTATTGGTTGAAGGTTTCTGAAGAGCAGTATTTTTATGCGAACGAAAAATATTTACTTCTAACGACTTCAAAATGGAAAACTTCAAAGCCCCGGCGTACAGTGGGATTTCGGCGGAGAAAATTAATAAATTAATATTTGAATGAAAATATAACCTTTTACGAAATTGGCAATTTTATACAAAATAAATGTAACAGAAATCAGTATAATTTTATTCAACTAAAACTTGTTGAGACTTTGGTTAAACTGAGCAATCTGTTTTTCTAATAACTTTTTTTGATTGCTTTTATTGTAGGTTAATTTGAAAGTGTCTATAGCACTTACTTGTCAACAATCGGAATCATTTCTTTCGACTTTTGAAAAAAGTTTTCTCATATTTGGAACCTTTAGCATAATCTTATATAATAATTAAGGCGTTTATGGTGTTTTTAAGGCGTTTTTTGAGGTTATGTTTGCATGGAAGGTGTGTGTTAAAATAAACCGATAACTCTCAGTTTTTGGATGTCTGGTTATAATATTATAACTAATATGGGAACATTTTCGGAATAATATGTTCATCGGTTCTACGCCGACGTGTATCCATATTTTCGATATTCTTCAGTTTTGGGTGTAGCTAGAAAACTAATTTTTGTACCTCCCTAATGCACATATTGAGTCATATATGTACATATGTATGTATGTACATACTCACAAGAAATTACATTTACAGCACCACATCTATGCGAACTGTCTGTCAATCACGCTATTGATTGTCAGTCTTCTCTAACGAGTTGCGGCTGCTTTGGCGAATGCTTCCTTTCGCGCTACTTACATATTTATACATAGTATGTAGGTATGCTTGAGATACTATTTGTTGTTGTTGCGGTTCCTATATATGTATTGTGTGTCGGCGTTGCCTTTTAATTTAAAAGATGCCAATTCGCAGATACTACACAATAATGATTGCGTTGGCTAATTTTGCAAGCTGCAATTACCACACCCAAGAGCAAATGTGAATATGTATAATGAATACTACAAGCGTGTTTGCGTGCAGCATGTGATATACATACATATGAATGTACTTATGTATGTCTCTACATACAAATGTGTATGCTTCTAAGTTTTCAATGCTGCAATGTTCGTTTGGTTTGCGTTAATTAAAAATAATTTTCTTGATTGCGTGAGGGGTAAGAAGCAGAGAAAATCTAAAAGAAAATATTAATAAATAAATTTTACATATGAATGCATGTAGTACACATATATATGTTTCTATATCTTGCACCTTGCTATGAAAATTATGTCTGTTCTTAAACTCTCTGATATACATACTTACCTAAAAAATAACTTCCATTTCCTGTGGACCTCACTAAACTGGGTACTGGGTAAACTTCGAGTACATACATACATATGTATGTAAAGCGCCTCCTAGGAAGCAAATTCTAGGTCTAGTATAAGCTTCGCAGCGGCATACAACGACCTTTAACTACTCCTATTCTTCGCCACACAATATCCACTGGTCAAAATGTGCTATACCGAAATTCCTAGCTGGAAATGTGCTTCAATTAATTAAGTGAAGTTTGAAGTTGCAAAAAATCGCATTGAATTTTGATATTTTTTCTGACAGTTTTATACACTTTTTCCATATAAAACAATTCCTTTGTATGGACGGAAATGCGTGATACGATCAGCACAAAAAGTATCAAAAACCAACGCGATTTTTTAGCAACTTAAAACTTGCACTTAGTGTACTAAAATTTAATAAGCTGTATAACTGCATACCAAGAATTATTCCAGAAGTTAAAATTAAAATGCTAGGAATTGGAACGAAAAGTTTGTGGAATTTTATAATTTTTATACAAAGTCTGAAATTTGGATCTATATTGTTTTTGTTAGATAAGGAGCTGAATTTTATTAACAAATTTATGAACCTCAAAAAAGCCAAAGTCGTCAAAACTGGTAAAAATGTTGATGTGCTATCTTTTATCGCGGGTAACGTATACGCCCCGCAGCATCATGCACATTCAGCTAAGACGGTTGGTTACTTGCACGCCTTAACTTAAAAGTCAAATCATTTAAAAGTAATTTAATATTGGCGTGGAATATTTTTCTACAGTATTCTTCATGAATATATATAGATTAATTTCTTCACGTATATAACAATTTCGGAATGAATTTCAAGTGTGCCAATCAAAATTGGAATTTTTGTTTCGCAAATCATCGTAATTTTATAATAAATGCAATTTTTTCATTTGGCGGCACACCAGTTTTATTACTCATGATTGGCTCGTTTCGGCAAGTAGAACTTTTCACCGTTTAATATTTGAAATTTTTAAGTATGTATCTCAAACTTTTAAGATGTAAAAATCGTTAAATTTCAAAAATTACAAAATAGCTGCGGCAGATATTCTGCATGATGCAATTTTTATTTAATTTGGTGGCACACTCTTGAAACTTCCCAGATACACTGTATTTCATGCCAACTTTCATTGCCTCTAATATGAACATTCTATTTGCAAACTTCTTAAAGTTATTGAAAAAAAACCATTGTGATTTTTTCGAGTGACAATAAAAGAATTAGTAATTTCGCCACTTTTTCGCTTAAATAATTGTCTTAAGGCTAAAATTGTTCAAATAATTGATTAATATTTTATTGTACTTATTTCTGGAACTGCATTCAATGAAATAAATGCAAGAAGCTGTTTTCTGGCGAGAGAAGGGAGTGACACTAAAAAAATAATACTGAAAATACATAGATATGTATAATGAAAAACTCCTATACTCCAAATGCTTCCATGAGTTTTTCATTGTACCCAAAATATTCACTCACATTTATGTGTTCTATTTTTAATCAGAAGTACTTTGAACTTGTTTTGTTTTGTTGTTTTCTTGATAAAAAGCTAAACTCCCTCTTAATAATTTTATTGTGATTTGACTAACAGTACTGTATGAATACTATGTAAAAAACGGGTTTATCAAATTTTTCTTAATTTCAAAATTGGGAACCGTTTTTTTTTTTTGAACTACCAATTTGCAAATAATTTGAAACCCGGTTAAAAAAAAAACTAATGGTCGAAGACTAATATATAATCAGTTAAAACTAAACATTTTAGCCTCTTTGACTCGCATTAATTTAAAGGTAAATTAATACATATCACTTAGGGTAGTTATTTTGAAATTACATAATATTTTACAAACGAAGGGCAAAGTGTTAAAAGAACCTGCCCAACGACACTCCCACGATTGGCTGAGTGATCGCCAGTTTAAAAGCGAGTAAATTCGCACCGAGCGTTTCGCAGTTTCGCAACGCGTCAACGAAAGCAGAGCAGCGTAACTAATGCGGCAAGGAATTTGCAAATGTTGAGTACACGCGTACGCATACAAATGTGCTAGTACCAACAAAACATACATATGTACATGCATATGTATATACACACGAGCAAGTGTTATATAAAAATTCTAATAGTTATGTGAGAATGCAAGTGTGAGACATCATATGTATGTAAATATGTACATACATACATATGTATGTATGCACACTGTACATATGTACATATGTATGTAAGTCCACTTATGCATATTCGCACTCGCCTGCTGGGCATGATCGTCATGCAAATAAATGTAGAAGCAAAACTGAGAAAAAAATACAAACCACTCACACAGTTTGCAGCCAGCGTTGCCACTTGAGTATATTTTAAGGTACCAAAAAGCCCACCAAATCAGTTTGCAAACTACCAAAAAATTTTTAATCAATAAAACGAGATTTTATTAAATTTACAAGTTTTGCAGATTAACAGTAGGTACAACTTAAAATACCAAATAATATGGTTTACTGTGCTACAGTTGGTTATCCATTCGTGCAATACTTGAAGTTTACACAAAATAAATTCGGGCGTTTAAATAAATTAATTTACGTATCGTATAAAAAACAGTTATAAGCATAGTATATAGTTTTGATATTAATTCAATTCATTTCAAACATTTTGATGTATAAAACAACAAATTCAGACATTTTATGCGTTTAAATAAAAGTTAGGTTGTTCACACTTGCTTGGTTGTCAGGTTATCTGGTTATGTGGTTATATTTTTTATTCAGTTTACAACAATAAAATACACTACAGAATAATACTTTTTAACCAGATAACCTGATAACCAAGCAAGTGTGAATAACCTAAGTATCAAAAATATTGTACACAAAACGTTTGTAAAAAAAACGTACCGGGTATATATATCTTTGAGATCAATACAATTCATTTCAAACGTGTTTTTTTTTTCTTCGACAATACAATTTCAAGCATTTTATTCGTTTAAAAACAAAAAGTTTTTATATCCTATATTATATCAAAAACAAAAAGTTTTTATATCCCCTAATTGTATACAAATCGTTTGTAAAAAAATCATACATCTTTAAAATCTCTTTTGAGAGCCTTTTGTACTAGTTCTTTACAGTGCATAATACTATTTATTGTACTGATGTTTAGTTTATTTCTGAGTTTGGTTTTTGGGCGCAGGCGAGTTTTCATCACCACGAGAATTTTCAGTATT